GAAGGTTCTTGTGGTGGGTACTTATGGAATATATTTTAATTTAATTCTTGTATTTTTTGCCTATTAATTTGCAGTGGTTCTTACTGTTTGCCTATTGCTTTGATTCTCACTTTTTGACTATAATTTATCTGATTCTTAGTTTTTTATTACCTTGATTCTCTAATTTATCTTTGATTCTTAATTTGTCTTATTTTACTTTGATTTTTTATTTTACTTTCTTAGTTCTTTCTATGATTTACTTTTATTCATTCCTTTCTCTATGATTTTACTGTGATTCTTACTTCTGATCTATTTACATAACCGTGTATACAGGAACAATAACCAACCATATATACCAACATTGCCTTTTGCCTCACTTGCAAAATATTTTGTATCCCCCTAGGAGCGTCTCAGGTGTTAATATCTTGAAATCAACTGATAATTTTATTATATTCATTCTGATGCTCTTAAGTAGTAAGGTCACAGTACCTGGAGAATGGGAGGAACTGGATGGTAGGTGCATTTCCTTAGATTAAGAACCCTTCACGGGCGTCAAGGCACTCCTTTTAAATAACAGTAATTCTTAAAATGTCATTAATTTCTAAATTTTGTTGATTGAAGATGACGTCAAGCCGACAGTAGACATAAAACAAGCATCTGCATGCCGTGAGGAATGCAGTAAGATACACCTTCCTGTTTGTGGAAGTGATGGTAACACGTACCCTAATGAATGTCTTCTGGACGTGATCAACTGCAAGCGATGGAGGGCCGGCCAGATGGGAATATACATCACATACATGGGCCCTTGTGGTAAGAATCTCCACGACTCTTTCTGTTGTAATAAATACCTTAGTTACCCCTTTTCTATCATAATATTCTATGTACATGTATTTCAAAATTTTTATATCTTGTGGTATCATCTTAATCATTCTTCTCTGTATATTTCCGAGCGTATTTATATAAGTTCTGTAACATGGAGAAGAGAACTGAGCAGCATAATCTAAATAAGGTCTAACCATAGATATATAAAACTGAAGTATGACCTTTGGGCATTGTTATTTATATTTCTTCATGTGAGGCCAAGAATTCTATTAGCTTTATAGCACTTAGGCACTGTTTTCTTGGCTTTAAATTGCTGTTAACTAGATCCTCTCGATCTTTTTCTCATTCACTTGGAGTACCGTAGCTATTTCCTCTTCCTTAAAATTGTCTGCATTGAACTGCATCTGCCACTTCTCCGTCCACAACATCAACCTATCTTGGTCTACACCATCCTGTAACTTTCTTGTGTCCGCATCAGAAATTATTTGACGACCACTTCTACTGTCATCGGCAAACTTACGTCGCTATTTATTCCCTCATCAATGTCGTTTATAAAGACTGAACAGCAAGGGTCCCAACACTGACCCCCGTGGCACACCACTCGGAACAGGTCCCCGTTCCGATTTCTCCCCATTAATGCAAACTATCAGTTGCCTATCGGGTAGCCATGCCTCTAGCCAAGATATAATTTCTCCTGTTCCACGTACCGCTACTTTCTTAATCAGTCTCCCGTGTGGAACTTTATGATAGGCCTTACTGAAGCACATACACAATATCGTAATCTTTAACTTGGTCCACCACCTCGATTACCTTAGTGAAAAATGTTTGTAAATTCGTAAGGCAAGAACGCACCTTTGTAAAATCCTGCTGAAATTCAAAGATCAAATTATATTTTTCAAGGTGGCTTAGAAAAATCAAGTTAATATATAACGTAAATTAAAGCAAGCTGAGGTTACTTTTTACGTTTAGTGCAAAAAAAAAAATGGTACACTCACTAAATGATATCGGTCGTCAGCAGAAGACACCATTGAATTTTCTGTTGCTTTCACAAGTGCTAAAAATTTTCTTTGAGTTGGGATAGTCTGCTGTAATATTATGTCCTGACACCCATTCTTTCTTCTTCCTTCTTACATATATTTTTTTTACCGTACTGGTATTCCTTCATTCCCATTACACTTGATTTCCCAGGTGGAGGGACTGAGAATCTTCCTGAGGTTCCTGAATCCGTTGACACGCCATCACTTTCTGTCCAATCACAATCACCACCTATCAAGTCACCATCAGTACCCGATGAGTCACCTTCACTTTTCGAATCACCATCAATACCCGTCGAAACACCATTAGTACCCGTTGAGTCACCATCAGGACCCGTCGAGTCACCTTCACTTTTCGAATCACCATCAATACCCGTCGAAACACCATTAGTACCCGTTGAGTCACCATCAGGACCCGTCGAGTCACCTTCACTTTTCGAATCACCATCAATACCGTCGAAACACCATTAGTACCCGTTGAGTCACCATCAGGACCCGTCGAGTCACCTTCACTTTTCGAATCACCATCAACACCCGTCGAAACACCATTAGTACCCGTTGAGTCACCATCAGGACCCGTCGAAACACCATTAGTACCCGTTGAGTCACCATCAGGACCCGTCGAGTCACCCTTGCTGGCGTCACTTGGAGCCTCGTACAGTGCCTGCCCAGAGGTGTGCGGTGAGACCTACTCTCCTGTTTGTGGCTCTGACAGTATTACGTACGAAAACAAGTGTCTCTTGGAAGTAACTAGTTGCAGGAGAAGGTCGGCAGGAGACACTGAACTCACCAAGGCTTTCGACGGACCCTGTGGTGAGTGTTGATCTTTATTATTAGTATTTAATGTTATGATCATCATTATTAAGTTTACTTTGAAGCGGTGTCCCCGATAAGTCTTCTACCAATGTTTAAACTTAAGAACAAAAGAATGAAGGGACACTGCAGCAGGCCTACTGGCCCATGCAAGACGGGTCTTTATCAAAACCACCCATTCCCGCCCACGTATTTGTCCAGCCTCTTCCCAAAGCTACGCAAGAATTTGCTTCAGTGCCTCATGTACTAATCACACCCAATCATTTTCACTCATATTTGTCCAATCATTTTAAAGTTACCCAAGATCTTAGCTTCTAGTTTGTAACCCAGGATATCCTGGTACCTATCCTTTCCCAGTGGCCGCTCTACCTCGAGGACCAGTGTGCGAGAGGAGGTGCGACAGTAGGGTGCAGCTGGTGTGTGGCAGTGATGGGGAGACTTACAATAATCGATGTCTCCTTGATCATGCTGATTGTCTCAACCCATTTGCCAGCATCACTTACGTCAAGGACGGGCCTTGCAGTGAGTTTCATTGTGGTGCTCAATTAGTATAGTTATAGCTGCTGATTATGATAATAGCAATTTCAATATTGGCATTACGAACAATATGGACAGGTTAACGAAATATAATATTCATTTCCAGCTTCTCCCGTCACTATTTTTGATTCACCTTCGATGTCATCATCAGAAGAGTCACTTCCAGAAGTGGTGGATTTCCAGGTTCCTCACACTGGCTATCTACCTCCATTTTAAACAGCAACAGGCAGCAAAACTTTCTCCAGCCAGACGCACCCGCTGGAGAATTCATTGTATCAGTAACAGGAACGGTGGTCAAGGCGGCTTCTACTTCAGAAATGTTTAGAGTAAATTCTTATTGGTGGTATTCAGCTCTTTGAGGCAGAGGACAAAACCACAATATGTGGCAAGGCTACATGTTCTATAGATTGACTTTAGAAGCAAGATTATGCAAATTTACGCTCACAGAACTCAAATTCTTAGAAGTACTTAAACTGTAGGACACATCATTTGTTATTGTTTTTTAGACATCCATCCTCCATACTCGTTATAGTAAGCATAACCACTTAAGATCCACCTAAAGTGGCCAGGCCACTTAACTTTACTTTCTCTCTCTCCTTGTTTACGTACAACCATATTTTCAGGGTTTTATCCTCTTCATCCTTGTCACTCTTCTTATTGTGTAAAAAAAGTCCCAAGTGTGTGTGTGTGTGTGTATATATATATATATATATATATATATATATATATATATATATATATATATATATATATATATATATATATATTTATATATTATATATATATATATATATATATATATATATATATATATATATATATATATCTGATAGTGAGGTGCTGGCCAGACCCTTATATAGCTTCCTTGGATGCTTTACTTTCATAGTTCCTTGATAATGTGAGTAGTCACGAAAGCGCTTGGAATTTCTCTATTCTTTCAGAGTGGTTGTTTTGCATATTCTGAAATCACCTATTTACTGTGATCTTATTGCATATATATATTATATATATATATATATATATATATATATATATATATATATATATATATATATATATATTATATATATATATATATATATATATTATACAGAACCGCGGAGTTGAAAAGAGAAAATGTATTGACTGTTTAGAGATGCCAAGAAAAGTACCATTAAACCCGAAATTAAATTTGCTGAAGGCTATTTAATTCTATGTGATTTTAAAGTTTATGTGTAAGATAATATTTTTAGTTGATTCCTGTTGATACTGTACTATATGCAAATGGCCAATAAAGGCCTGATATATTTGTGTAAATATTATGAAACAATACATATAAATTCTATTACTCTATCGTAAATAGTCGGTCACGCCCACGATAGTCATTAGCCATACGAAGTGCCACATGTCTATGTTACCACAGGTGTTACCACAGGTGTTGGGGGAATCGTAGGAGTGGCGGGTCCAGGAGCTTCATGGTAGGGGAAGGTCAGTCAGTGTTGAGATAGATCGCTGGGGGAGAAGGTCAACAGCTGGATAAGTTGCCAGTAGAGAAGGTCGACAGCTGGATAAGTTGCCAGTAGAGAAGGTCGACAGCTGGATAAGTTGCCAGTAGAGAAGGTCGACAGCTGGATAAGTTGCCAGTAGAGAAGGTCGATAGCTGGATAAGTTGCCAGTAGAGAAGGTCGACAGCTGGATAAGTTGCCAGTAGAGAAGGTCGAGCATGCTGGATAAGTTGCCAGTAGAGAAGGTCGACAGCTGGATAAGTTGCCAGTAGAGAAGGTCGACAGCTGGATAAGTTGCCAGTAGAGAAGGTCGACAGCTGGATAAGTTGCCAGTAGAGAAGGTCGATAGCTGGATAAGTTGCCAGTAGAGAAGGTCGACAGCTGGATAAGTTGCCAGTAGAGAAGGTCGACAGCTGGATAAGTTGCCAGTAGAGAAGGTCGACAGCTGGATAAGTTGCCAGTAGAGAAGGTCGACAGCTGGATAAGTTGCCAGTAGAGAAGGTCGATAGCTGGATAAGTTGCCAGTAGAGAATATCGACAGCTGGATAAGTTGCCAGTAGAGAAGGTCGACAGCTGGGTAAGTTGCCAGTAGAGAAGGTCGACAGCTGGATAAGTTGCCAGTAGAGAAGGTCGATAGCTGGATAAGTTGCCAGTAGAGAAGGTCGGCAGCTGGATAAGTTGCCAGTAGAGAAGGTCGACAGCTGGATAAGTTGCCAGTAGAGAAGGTCGACAGCTGGATAAGTTGCCAGTAGAGAAGGTCGACAGCTGGATAAGTTGCCAGTAGAGAAGGTCGACAGCTGGATAAGTTGCCATTAGAGAAGGTCGACAGCTGGATAAGTTGCCAGTAGAGAATATCGACAGCTGGATAAGTTGCCAGTAGAGAAGGTCGACAGCTGGATAAGTTGCCAGTAGAGAAGGTCGACAGCTGGATAAGTTGCCAGTAGAGAAGGTCGACAGCTGGATAAGTTGCCAGTAGAGAAGGTCGACAGCTGGATAAGTTGCCAGTAGAGAAGGTCGACAGCTGGATAAGTTGCCAGTAGAGAAGGTCGACAGCTGGATAAGTTGCCAGTAGAGAAGGTCGACAGCTGGATAAGTTGCCAGTAGAGAAGGTTACTAATGCAAAACTAACGTAGAGGAAATTTTAGCTTTCTGCTAAAAAGAGAAGAGAAGCTGTGAAAGTGCTTTTGTCTCCTCACTTCTCAAAACTCCTGGATCCGTCGCTCTGTGAATTGTACATAACTTGTTAAACAATAACTCAAGGGTGATAAATACTGGTTATAAATTACCATTATTTTTAAAGGGGTGGACCGGTAAGCCAGCGGAAGGCCTCGGTCAGATGACCAAAGCTCCAAAGGCGGGTCATCATCTGACTAAGACCCGCGTCAGGAAACACTTGTCCTGTTTCCTGACGGACCTTACCTGACAACTCAATAAGCGGGTCGGTAAGTCTCTTATAAGGACTCTATCCGAGCGAATATAGCAAAGGAATTCTGTAGGATATCCATAAAGGTATCAACACCTTATCACAGGATACACTACTGTGTAGTGAGCCTTTTGCTATTAAAGTTACCTGCAGTTTACCTGGAGAGAGTTCCGGGGGTCAAAGCCCCTGCGGCCCGATCTGTGATCAGGCCTCATGGTGGATCAGAGCCTGATCAACCAGGCTATTACGGCTGCTGCACGCAATCCAAGTGGATTGTAAACCTGGCTAAGTAAGTCAGAGGATAATTAACCACAAAAAGGGATCCTCGTGTTATTCACACCCGTGTCAGGACACAGTGCTCTTTCCTGACGTATAAAACACTACTCACTGCCAGGATCTTCCTTCGTTTCTCCTTAATTCCTGCACTACTTTTTGGGGGGGTAAAATAATTGACTTCGAAAACACGAAATTTCCAAAGCTTATTTTTAGGCGTCTTAAGCTTAATATTAAGCTTTTACTTAAAGAATTGACTTGTTCAGAATGTAATTATAAATTAACTCAATGTGACTATGTAAATTACGAAGTGTTTATAATTACCTAGAAACCCCTCAGAGGAGGTTTCTCGACGCTGGTGAGGGGCTCTTGATCCAGGGAACTGGATCTGTGCTCCAGTTCCCTGAGTTAAGCCTCAATACCTTCCATCCCCCCTACCACAGGTGCTATATAATCCCTACGGATTTAGCGCCTCCTATAATAATAGCAACTCCAAACAACATGTCATTACTCTCGTTTCTTCACTTTCTCAATTTTGTATTAATTAAAGCAGTTACCGTTGAATTTTTTTTTTGTTGGTATTTGACGCAGTTTATTGAGACTTTTTGGAAATTAATAAAAATTTTGTAGTATCTAGAATATTTTAGAACTTTCTAAATATTTACATAAAAAAGACTTATGAACGAATAAAAATAAAATAAACTACGAATTTTTAATTACCTAAATATTGTTTATGTATATATCATTGTTTCAAGGGTTGAGTCACTGCTCCTGGTCCCGCCTCTTCGCTGTACTCACCTATATGTGGTTGCAGGGATCGATTCATAGCTCCTGGCCGTGTGGGTCTCCTGTGGCTGGTGTCTCAAGCTCCCGCTTCACACACGGAGGGCCCGGGTTCGATTCCCGGCGGGTGGAAACATTCCGACACGTTTCCTTACACCTGTTGTCCTGTTCACCTAGCAGAAAATAGGAACCTGGGTGTTAGTCGACTGGTGTGGGTCGCATCCTGGGGGACAAGATTGAGGATCACAATGGAAATAAGTTAGACAGTCCTCGATGACGCACTGACTTTCTTGGGTTATCCTGGGTGGCTAACCCTCAGGGGTTAAAAATCCGAAATCTTATCTTATCACTAATTATAAACTTAGGAACATTGTAATCCTTATAGAGAATAAACTTTGAATTTTAATTGAAGCAATGTAAAAAATATAATAGTTACCCATTATAAATTTTACGTTTTTTATGTTTGTGCTGTGTTAACGTTTTCTTTAATTTACAACAGCAACTATCTCATTTTTTCATAAAGAACAAATAGTTACATAGATTATCATACACAGCAGCATATGTGTAGAGAACCTGGGATAACACAAAGAAATCATTGACATTTCCACTGCGGTCCTTTAAATATACTACTATATAGAAAGTCGCTCGTTATGCAGAGCATTTCGGGCAAATTAGGTCAGTTTTGTCCCAGGATGCGACCCACACCAGTCCACTAACACCCAGATACCCATTTGACTGATGGGTGAACACTGAGATCGGCACCATGCCCAGCTCTTCTAGGGTAGGGTAGGTGCCTGAGCCAGAGCTTGCAGTTCACAAGACTGTCATTCCCATTAGCCCCCTTGGGGCGGGTATGGCAGACCAGAGAGGCCTAGCTTCTCCTTACGAGCCCCGTGAGGGCGGGGAATGTGGCTAGGCCTGGGGACAGTTGGTCCCAAAGATGAGGAGGTACTTGTACCTCCTCCCATGGCAGACATTAGTCTGAGACACTCCCGAGACAGGGAGCCAAGGCCGGACCACCATTTGGAAAAGGCCCGGGCCGGGAGAATACCGGCGAGTCAAGAAGTGAACATTGGACAACAGATATCTTAAGGAAACAAGTCCCAAAGTTTTCCGGCGGTACCGGGGATCGATCCTCGGACCTCAGTGTGTGAGCTGAGTGCGTTAGCGATCAAGCTACTTGACACCTGACGCAGCTTCAACCTCTGTTAAATATAATTATTTTTTATATTATGTACATTTTTAAACTATTT